GCAGAAGTGAAAACTGTCCTCGGTTTAGGGCAAAGGCTTTATTTTAATAGCATCGGGCATGTGCCTGTTTTCCTAAACCAACAGCTTTCCTCTAAATTTAATACTGACCTCTGTCTACACAGACTGGTGGTCATGAGTTGATATTCCTGTGAGGGGCCTGTGAGGCAAACAGGTAGATGGAGAAACTGGAGAGACCATCCTCAAGGTGAAAAAACCATTTTCTTCTGTCTGGGAACAGCTGCTGAAAAATGCAGCGTCTCAGACAAGGAGCTGTTTGGGTTGTGGGAAAGGATGTCACCAGCATCTCAGCATGTCTTGCAGAATGACTCCCAGTCAAGCAGTTCACAGCTCACCAAACACTTCCTCTCTTTCTTTAGATCATTTCTCAGACATTATCCCCCACCTGGAACCAGATGCTGCTCTTCAACAACATTGTGCTTCATGGCGACAGAGAGGAGATCGCTCAGTTCCCACCAGAGATTGTCATTGAGCTGTACGACGATGATGCAGTGGTAAAATCAAAATCCTTCCTGGTAAAAAACCTTGGCTCTGACATCTTCATGCCAGTGTGGAAGCAAAGTTGTGTCACTGAAAATGCATTAAATGGATGTCCTTGCAGAATGGAGCTCAGTGGTACAGTGGTTTGCAGTTTAACATCTGAAAACAGCCCTGAGACTTGTTTATGTCCTTGCAAAGCTGTGGCCTTATTTTTTTCCCCAAGCAAATTTTGCTCCCAAAGACTGGCTTAGAGAAATCAGAAGCATCTTGCCCTCACCTTCCTTGCACATAACTGTAAATATTGTGTCTATCTGAGTCCGGGGAGACACAGATTTATCTCTGACCATGCAAACTCTGACACAGTCTCACTGGCTGAATATAGAGCTCAGAAACTTTGTATGTGCTGAAGAGTACTCAGCTCTTCAATTTTCATAGCTGCCTTGCATTTTACCTTGCTCTTTACTTCAGAGGAAGGTTTTGGTTCTTCTTGTTTTTCAAATACAAAACTCTGCAGCATCTTGGCTCCTATGACAGCTGTGAAATTCAAATGTATTTGACACCTGTATTCTCCTTTATTTAGGGTAAGGCAGAATATATTGGGTCTACAGTGGCTGCCCCTGTAGTGAGACTTGCTGATCAAAACTATGAACCACCTAAACTTTCTTACCACCCAGTGTATTGTGGAAATCTTTCAGGAGGAGACCTTCTTGCTACATTTGAGCTTCTGGAGGTAAAATAAACTTTCTTGACTGTTACACTTTTACACACTGGGCTCCCAAAAGCAGTTGTGGCATCAAGGTCCATCATGCTCTTGAATTAACAGGAACTGCATCTGGAGCAGGATCATTCTGCTGTTGGACCTCATAGTCTCCATGCAGTCTCTGTCAGTCCCTCCTCCATGCTGCTACTATCCGTGCACAGACCACTCTGAGCCCCATTTGCCCATCACTTGTCCTGTCCTAAACTGGTCTCTGGCCTGAGAAACGACCATGAAAATCCCACCACCATTGCAATAATCTGCTCTTTGGAGTAGCACATGACCCTGATTTTAGCAACCTCAGAGCTCTCAATATTGCTTTTACTCTTAGGAAGAGGAAGCAGTGCATAATAAGGATTGGATTAGAGAGAGAGTCTTCAGAGACCCCTAACATATTAAAAGAAATGTTACACTGGTTTCCAACTGCAAGACAACAGGCAAATTCAGCTCACCTCTGGGTCTAGCCTGGCAGATGCATGTGGGGTTTATCGTGCCTGGGATTTCAGGGAATTTCAGTGGAATTTGCAGAGCCACCAGTTAAAGGAAACTTCTCTCTGCTGAAAACCTGCAGCATTTTATTCTGAAATCTGAAATGGGAAAAATGTGGAGTTCTGTGACACGGTTTAGTGATATTCCCAAGATAAAACAGGTGTTTAAGCATGGTGGGCTAATTATGTTCTTGGTGAAAGCCTGAAATGTGAAACCATGGGTAGCACATCCTCATTATGGTGAGTCCCTAGGGATAAAGTCTAGTACCTTAGCCATAATTTTCCTATTTTTCTATTGAAATCCAATTTTAATGAACAAAGAGAACACTGTATTTTGTTTTGCCATCTTTTGTGACAAGGGAAGCCGCACTGCTTCTGAGATATTTCTAAATATACCCCTAAGACTCTCTAGGGATTTGACAAGAACTGTAAGTAAAGACCTTGCAGTTCTTATTTTCATGCTTTGTATTACAGAATCACAGAATCACAGAAC